GTGATGAACCATGTTCTTGGTCTGGGAGGCTGGCACTGTGAGACAGAACAACTTCTGCCTTCCACTGAGAGTTACGTGCTGATTCGGAGACAGATGTTCCCTTGATCCTCAGAGATGGCTTTAGTCAGATGTTTTTAGTAGGTGTTCTTTGATCTATTCCCTGATACCCTCACAAATGACAGCTTTGTTTTCTCCATCGCATTAAGATATCACCCCTTGCCATTTTGCAGTAAGCACCACTGGGCCCAATGCTGCAAACAGCTTGGCAGCAAATGGAGCAGGACAACCTCAGCCACCTGGAACATCTGCTTTCTCTGGGTCTGTCACAGCCTCGGGAGTGACATATCAACCACAACCACTGTTTTCTGCAATAAGCTAAGCATCATTTGCTTCACCCCTCTTATCTTGCACTATACTGGCTTTGCCTCACCTGGAAATCAGAGATTTTAGAAAGAATCTCATGCAAAGTCTTGAGCCCACAGCTGCACAGCTGCTTTGTTTCCCAAAATAAACCCCAGTTCTTATTTTACAAAAGATTTTAGGTAAAGGTAGGGAGTTCTGGCATTTAGCTTACTGTACTCACTGAAAAATCTCTTTCTCTCCTTTGCTCTGGTTTTTATTTGCTCATTTTTTAAACCACGGTCCTTGACTGAAATGTCTTTGATAGATACATGCCTAAACACTGATCCAGCTTAGGAATCAAATAAATGGCACACAGAAACACAATTCTCACATTTTCTTTCCATCTCTAGGGTCTGAAGGAATACAGATTGTGGGGAGTTTCACCCAAGGGACTGCAGAAGACAGAAGAAGCCATTTAAGGGAAGAGGAGGGAACAAAAAGAAGGATGCAGCTTCTTAGACAACAAGTCCAGATACTGCCAACCATAATGAAACAAATCAGCTAAAGACCTCCTCCTTTCCATGATGTACACACATCATATATCCAAGATAAAATCACAGCAACATTTCATCACACACCTGTGGAATCTGTGAACAATCCACATGTAACTAGTGCAACACCGCAAGGCTTGATTTATTTATTCACTTGTAATGCAATTCTCGGGATTCAAAGCACATTTCTCAGCCATGCTACGTACTGAAAAATGACCTTTCACCCCAACATTAAACAATTCTTTGCAGGCACAGCCCAAAACAGCACGAAAAAATAACCCCAGTAATTATCACACCCTGATGCTCAGCTGCCATGTCTTACCCTTGCTTCTGACTGTTTATAATCAGCAGGTTATTCTTTGACATCTCTCTATCATTCCATGAGAAAACTCTTTTCCACTGCTTTACAAAGACTGTAAATACACATGTATTGCTACCACAGAAATATCCACCTCCCTGAGCTCCAGCCTACACAACACCCTTCTAATCTACCAGAAACATATTTCCCATTCATTGTGTACCAGTTCAGACAGCAGCTGCCACGAGCCAGGGGAGAGAAGGTGTGTTGAATCCCTTTTGCAGGCAATGCCCCACCATTGCCAAAAGGCCTCCTGCAGCCTTTGGAAAAAAACTGCACTTTCCTTTCCTTGCCCCTTGTTGGGAACTCACCCCTTCAAACCCTTCTGCTGTTTCCTGCTCATGACTCAAAACTACAATTTGTGCAGACAGATACCGTGACTGACCCCTTCAGCTGAAACTTCTGCCACTGCTGGTCACCATCCCAGAGCTGTACAGATGTTGAGAGCTCTTTCTTAGTCCCAAGCTGAACTCCAGCACGTGCAGGCAGGTGTTCAGGGAGTGCCTGCAATTTCTAGGCACTCAATTGTATGATTACTCCTGCCTTTGATATCACAGATTGTCCTGCCTATCTCACTCTCACCACTTCATGAGTGGTAGTGGTTAACACTCCAGAAATGCAAGATAACTGTGAACCTGTCTAAAAACCAGCACTAAAACTCCACTGACCTGTGGCTCGTCCACAGACAGAGAAAAGCAGCTCAATGAATGATCAGAGTTTTTCTGTTTTAAGGGTGTCCAAAATATGAGATGGATGGAAAAAACAGGGCATTTGAGTTCATGCTGCCAGCAATTCTCACAGAGTACTGTGTTCTCATTCCTCTCTGCACACCAAAATATCTCTCAGAAACCTTTAACAGGCATCCCTGTGAAGGATGCACCTGGGCTTAAGCCAACAGTGTTCCAACACAAATATCACAACCGTGTTAAATATGATAACAAATGGTAATAATCACAGAGATCGCAGATTTCAGCCCTGGCCAGCGAAACACAAAGTAAACAAAGAATTGATCTGAAGACAGAATCAGATCCTAAATAGAAAATGACAAAAATGCAGTTAGAAGCATCAAGCACATACTTGAAGAAACAGCATTGTAAAGAATGAATGGAGAGAGGAATTACTCGACAGTATCTCTGAATATCAATTTGCAGTTCACCTTCAAAAAGCAAACACAGCCCCACAACTGTTAAGATGATTCCTTGTGTCAGGCAAAGCAACTGGCAAGAGGCAATTCTTCTTAGCAGCATGTTGAATTATGTATTTGTGCATAAGCCTTAAATGTGTATTTTAATTTCACCTAAGTAAATTACCAGCACCAATCCTACCCTTCTCAAATACCTCAGAATTTTTAATTAACCTAATACCATCATTTCAACCAGGCAGTCAGAAACGATGAGTAACACATGATTCATATTCAGAAGCAAATGCACCTGCTTTTCAACAACATTTCTAATTACTGGCTCATTTTTACCCTTTAAATGGCAATGAAGCCAATTTGGGTCATACTGTTTTTTTGCCAGAGACGAGTCCTTTCAGCTCACAAATAATGTATAAGGAATTGCTGTGTTGTCAGTTTGAAGGACACTTTCAAATGCACCGTGGCAAACTGAATAAACTGCCAAAACACATCATTTTACTTCTGATATGCATCACTTCACCATGAGCCTCCACCAGACAAGGTTTTGCCAAGAACATTTAAGTTCTGAAGTGGTGCCTCACCATTTCACTGTCTTTGGTCTGTGCCATGCCAGTGCTACCATATGTTAAATACAACAAAGTGCTTGTTTCTAATGTTACAGGCAACAGGAAAACAAACAGACAGGGGGTTTGAATACTTGGGTGCCCTTGAAAGACCCTGCAGCAAACTGCAGTGAGATTAGGAGGAAAGTCTTCACTGAACTGCCTCCTCTTCCTGACAGCACCACGGATTTTAGGAGCAATCAGGGAAGCAAAGGGAAGCAAACTCTGCTTCAAAAGGTGGTTCATCACCTTTCTACTCTCAACATTTAGTTTGTCCAGGAGACATGCACCTTCAGAAGGCTGAAGCTGTTCTCACATAGCTCTGATATGCCCTCAGCCACTGGAATATGCATGTGACACTGGGTGTATCTGCTGAAGTTTTCAAACCCTCCAACACCACTAAAATGTGACAAATTCTCATACACAAAGCCCTATTCATTCTCAAACCAGCTTGCACGTCAGGTCTCTCAAAGTTACCATCATTATCTTGATTTGCAGCATACTGGTAAATCCTATACATCTTCAAAGAAAAAAATAAACTGACTTCTGGTTCAAGTTGTATAGATTTTATTCACAGAAGCTATCTCCTTCTGACATCTACCTCTAAATTGCTTGATATAATGAGAGTACCATGCCTGCCATGCTTCCTTTACTTGGTGTGCTAACTCATATTTTAGATCAAAACCATACAAAAAGGCATGAAAAACACAGGAGTCAAAACTGGTTATGTCCTCCATTTATCAATTTTAAACCATCACTGCAACAGCTTAAAGACTCTGTGCTCTAGTTACGAAAGTCCCTTTACAGCTATAAGAAAAAAGGATGTTCTGAGACTCTGGGGTGAAAGAAACGACAAGCAGAGGAGCTGAAAGCTGGTGCTCAAGCCCTGGGTAGGCAGAACACTTTTGGGCAACATTGGTACTGGTTTTGTGCTCAAATTTGCTCTGGATGACGTGAAAATATTAATGTCCCAGTTCATTCTTAAATAATCATAAACAGTGCTGACCACCAGAAACTATGGGCTTTTAGTATGCAGCGATTTGACTACATTCATAAGAAGATTTAGCAGTTCTCAGAAGCTACTTAAAGCAGATTTGTTGACAACTGGGCTTAACTGACTTTAATAAACACACAAATGACTGCACAATCTCTGGGTTACAAGTGATTTAACAGTTATTTCTTTGTTTTCTTTTTTTTTTTCTTCTTAAAAAATTTATCAACTATAATCTCAACCATACTACAGCATGCAACTTGCATTAACAACCCACTTCATATCAAACGGTAAATACAAGTGCAAACAGTTTATTAACAAAACACGCAGTGCAAAAATCTCTCATTAGTTAATGTTAGTTAAGGGACATATAACATCAATAAATACCAACTAAAATAAAATCCCAAATCTCCTCTATAAAGAATCTAATAAGAGCCATTTAAGGTAGAGAAGGAACCAGCTCTTTATGAAATGAAGAGAAAGGAGGAACTTTGAGGTTGCCAGAAGCAAATCTTGAAACAAAAAAAATCTGGGAAAAGGCAGGCTCTAATCATGACCAGCGAGATACCTTGGAATAGGCTGTGATTCTACAAAAAACAGAGGCCTCTATGACTTAGAAACAAATCAGATCTTGAGAATTCAGTAACTTGAAGTGAAAAGCAAGCATCTGAATTCTGGGCTAATTTGCACAACAAATTCAGAAAAAGCAGAAGGAAACAAGGAAGGAAAAGCAGAAGCTTGCACCACAGGAAACAGATGGAGTAAATATTTTTCATTTGATATCCCTTCTAATTAACTAGAAGTGTCACTGGAAGCAAAAGCAGATACATCCCTGATAAAATTAAACACGGAAAGTTTTAAACAAGACTAACTTTCAATTTGGAAAAGGCAGAAATGGAACAGTCACGTCTTCAATGGAGAGAGAATATCAAGCAGGATGAATGAATGGAAAGCAATTACTTCTTCAGTATGCAATATTTCTCATTACCAAAGAAGGTGTTTTTCAGTAAAACTTTACCTTTCTCACAATGACTTCCCGTGAATCCAGAAGGGCAGACACATTTGTTAGGGGCTACACAGGTTCCACCATATCTGCACCCTTCTTCACAGAATGCTGCAAGATAAAAGGAATATGTGGGTAATACATCAGGTAAAAAAAAGAAAAGAAAATGTATTTGCAGTACAATGAGAAAAACAACTAAATTCTAAGCAATTACCAGAATTCAACATTCAGTCCACCTGCAAACACAAAGAGAAGTAACTCAAAGGACAAGAGGAGAAATCTCAGATTACACCACAGGCAAACCACCTCACCAGTAAAAGATTAGTAACCATCTGGAAGAAGAGGAGAGGGAAAAAATACATCATATGATTTCAATGGGGCTGATCTTCTTCCAATTATACAAATTTGCATATTACAATTACAGTGCCCTGATAACCCACAGGAAACAGGCTAGTTGGATAGTGTCAACTACTTTGTTCCTCACTTCTATCCAATACACTTCACTGAAATGTCTGCAAACACACAATATTTTGCTTTTTCAGTTTTTATTTTTAAGTGTAAGGTACTTTTTGTGGAAGCAAGAAATCAAATAATGGTGAGGGTCATGACTGGAAACAGAGAAGGGCTCAACCCCAACACCTCTACTGAGGTGTGATTCTTGACAGAGCAGTACCCAAGCACTTTAGAAGTGTTTGCCCAATAACTAGGATTTGAAACAACTGATGGCTCTCATCTTTTCTTGTGAGCACCGTGTGATGTTGTTCCTCGTGCTCACAGCTGGTTTAGCAGAAAGTCCACCCAGTGTGCAAGTACGCAGGTGAATGTTACTCTTTTTTTATTTCCTTTTATTGTGTGTGTGAAAGTAGCAGGACTGAGGCAAGAAGAGGAAAGGAAATGGCATCAGGACACTCATCTATTTCGTTCTGGTAACTTGAGTAGGATCTTTGCTAAGACTAAGAGCAGGCCCCTCCCCTAACACACTCTCCCCCTCTAGATATTTATTGAACCTCACAGGTTACTCAGTGGGTTTGATTGCATTTATGAGGGAAGTTACAATTAATATTTAAACAGCAGCTCTGTGCATCTAAGCTAATAACAGATTTGCAAAGTTGTTTCCTGCAAGCTAAAATCACAGATGGAGTGCTGGCAAAGAGACGTTACAAACGCCATGAAAAGGCTTGAAGTGCTACATAACAGAAAAAAACGTTTAAGATTTATTTTCCAATGCACTAAAAAAAAAAAAGAATAAAGTGAATAAAGCACTAGGCAATAAAGAGAATCTTTTGCAATTGTTAACCACTTAGAGGATGAAAAGCACACCATCATATCTCTTGACTGAACTGACAGACCCATCTGCCTCACTGTAAATATATAATTCATGGCATGCCATACTGCTTCATGGAGGACAGAAGAATGCTACAGTGGTTTAGAGAAGGCCGTAGCAGAACACCCTGAGCGCTCCTGTGACTGCAGCAGTGTGGAGAAAGCACAGGTCTTGCCCAGTAACACTTCCCGCTCATCAGTGCACACACTCCATATGGGAAGCTTCTAAAATACTTCTAATTTGAAACCAGCCAATTCCTACTGCATGGGAAGGAGAGAAATACGGTTTAAGAGGAGTATTTTGTGATTTTTTTACATATAAATATTTGTAGAAGAGCGTAACTGTGCCGAAAGCTGAAAGTATGGAAACCAACTCTAAAATATATTAAAAGACATGATGGGACTCAAAGGATTCCTTCCAGAGCTCTTGGAAGAACATTTGCTCATCTTTAGTTGCAGCATTCTCAGAGAAGGTGCAAGTTAAATTCTACGTCTGCATTTTTTTTTATGGTTGGAAATTCAGAGTAAGCAGAGACTTTTTCAGTGAAGCGGTAACACATTTCTGCAAATATCAAAAGAACTCAAATCTGAGGCAGAGGGGTGAAAAAAAGAAAGATAATGGCAAAAAAAGTGAATGGTTCATCCTCAATATACATCACATCGTACTGGGAAAGAACCACACGGGGCTCTTAAAAGAATTCATAAAGGGCATTAAAAAGATGATGTTTATTGTCTATATGTCATGCATGTCCAGTGAAAGTTATTAGTGCTAAGAGAGAGGGGTAGGAGCATTCATGCACCTTCTTTGCCACCATCAGTGGGGGCTACCAATTTACTAATGTGAAATGTCTGCTGCTTGCAATAAATCCTATTAGTAGGCCAGCAGAGTGAGGTGGTGTTTTCTTCTGTTCTCATTTAAAATTTCCAACAGAGAAAGGCTTATGAGGCAGGGCTGGTCATGTAAAAGATCTTCCCATTAGGGCTTGTTATGTCAGTGCAGCAGTCAGGTCTTGACACGTACAGGTAGAGCCACGAGTGCCATTCCCACCTGGGAGGGAGAGTGTGGGATGCCTGCCATGGGCTAAAACTCTTGATCTTTCTATTCCTTCCTACCTATCCATATCCAAACACACCTCCTATATATGCATATTCAAATGTGCCAGCTCTTGCTTGTTGAGTATTTTGAAATGTCGCATCATAGCAACTTATAGGGAAAAAAGAGGCGGGGGGGTAAGAAAAAAAATAAAAAAAAATCACAACAATATTGGTACAGGGACACCCTGAGGAACTACAGGTTGCTGTGAGAAGGGACTCTGTACTGTCCAGGAGTCACCCAGTCACCCAGCCTGTTACACAGATGTTGGAGGAGGAGGCTGAGCAAAGGCTGCACAAGGAAAGAATTCACCTGTCCATTTCAATTTCTGTAGATGCTGAAAAATCCTCCACAACACAGGACTAACTACGCTTGTCTTCATTGCTCGGGCTTTGGTGGATTTGGGGGATGTGATTCATTCTTCTATTTTTATGCAAGAAAAGAAAACCCCAAGGAAGAGTGCCAGCATTACCCTGCTGTTCCCCAGCACAAACCCTCTCATTCCTGCATTGTAGGCTTGCAGGAAATGGGAACATCAAACCCACAAATCTCAGAGCATAGTTACAAAATCAAAATATTTCTCTGAAGGCTACTTTCCTTAAGTGCTAGAAAAATAGTTCACAGAATTATATGCAATACTGATAGCACTGCTCTAAATTTTAAGGATGCTCAATACCTCTAATAACAGGAAGACAGTTTCAATTGCTAGCAATTTTACCTAACTTCACTTATTTGAACTCTTTTCTCTAATAGTCAGGTCTCTGGCTGAAGCCTTTTAGAACATTTTATCAAAATTCATTCACTGCCAACAGTGAGATTTTTTCCTTTACACCATTAGCAGAAGAAATTAATTAAGGGAAATCTTTACATCCTTTCTGTACACCTTATGGACAAGGGGAGCTAAAAGGGAGAGCTCAGTGACTGAACAGGAAACCAACTGGAGTGCCTGGGCTTTCCTGAAACTACTTGCTTTGCTGCTTGTGCTTTGTTATATATCTTGTGGGCTCTGGGGTATGGATTTCCACTGTGGTTTAGACCCTTCAAAAATCTACCGGGAGGGGCTGGAGATCCACTCCACCAGTACCACAGAATTAGCAGTTATAAACCTTGGTTGCAGATTCCCTCCTGCTCAAACAAAGTCAACACAAGGAAGATAAATCATGGCTGGATCGAACATTGCTGATGCATTCCCATAAGTAGATCCTGTCTCTGAAATTATTTGCAGGCTGGAAACCTCTTTAAAAAAAGGAGAGTGGTTACTGAATTTACCTACCATAAAGGTTTTATCAAGCAAATTAAGTGAGGATGCCATTAGGGTAAAATCCACACAGGTAAATTTCTGTTGTTAAGAGATTTATTCAGTATTCTGTACGTAAAGGAAACAGAATCTATCGATTTCAGGAGGCTGCTGCCAAAGTGAACAGACCTCTGCAACGCCAACAGATTTTCTCCACTGAAATAAAAGCCTTTATCCTATAAAGACCTTTCCAAAATAGACATAATTTCTCTGCAGAGGAGGAATTTTATTTTTGATGCACATCCTCCTCCATGATGAACCTGTAGAGAATGGAAGCAGCCAGAACTGTAAGTCTGAATATGCCATTTTTGAGATGATGTTGGAGGGACGGAAGAGTTCTCACTGCAGAGCTCCACGAAGAGCAGCATGAAAATGCCACACTCCTGGACATGCACAAGCTGCATTATTCCAGTTTTGGCATGGTAGCACAGTTCACTACCTCACTGTGCTACTACAGGAAAGCAGGTGCTGCAGCATGGAAGATGAGCAAAAACCTCTCACTTCCAAGTGTAATACAGTAGTTATTATAAAACATTTGTACTTGAATACAGAAAAACATTTTAGTACAAGAAAATGAATAAATAAACCAAAACCAAGTAATTGCCCTATGAATTTAAATGAATATTGCTTGACTATGAAGAGATACAAAGGTCACCTTCCCAATTAAATCAGACATATTAAATCTTATTTCCAGATATACTAAATGCCTGTAAAAGTGAAAAAAGGGACATTCAGGAAAGGCAAGGAAGGGGTCAGGCACTGCCTGGGTAAACAAAAATATGCAGCTTTGGAAGAGAGATGGGCTGGTGCAACTATACAAGCAATTTGATAATCAATTGATGGAAAGACCACAATTTCATTAGCTGATTGAATTTACCCAGACAAGTATGCACAAGGGCACAGTTGATAACAATCCAACTATGTAAGCCAAATACCAGAGTAATTGGATGATACCAGTTGCTGAGGTGGGTTTAGAGGACAGCTGAGAAAGTTAAGAGAAAACACACAACTAAAACAAGGGAGCAAAGGGAGCAGCAGAGGTTCTGCTCTTTTTCTCTGCGCTCAAGTGTGACACTATCATCTATAAAAGGACAAAACTCTCTTTGGTTCAGTGAACTACATCCATTGGATACAGGGTGTGACTTATTTCACACAAAAAAAAGTCTGCCAAATGCCACTGGAGTCCTTTTACAGCTGGCTGGAGTCAGAGAAGGACAAATCTGGTAGGAATGAACTTTGGGCAAAAGAACTGTCCTGGAAAATTTTTGGAGCAAGAAGGGAAGTGCGGGTTTGTCTTCCAGTCAGGACGAGAACACATCTGAGGCTGGAAGACAAACCCTTAGCTGGGCAGTTACCACTCATGTGAGGGGCTTCCAGCCTAATTTATGCTTCTGGTTT